ATCGGTATCACGACCAACATAATTTTATTAATTAACTAAATTTGTAATTTAAATTTATAGCTGTTGTACTTGTAGCTATTTCATATAATTAAGTTATTATAATTTTAATACCTTTATTAGAATTAAGGAATATAACTTTTGTTATAGGTTCATATAGTTAAAAACTTTAAAGATGCTAAATATTTAAGTAAGAATGATTCGGAATACTTCAGCTTTCATGAAAAAAAAGGTTAAACTTTATCTTATTAAATTAATACCTTCTCTAAACCTACTGATGGAATTCTATTTTGCAATACGATAAGAATAATTATATTTATAAATTGTTAGTTTACAGACATTTTTTTAGTCTGTTGTAATAATTACATTATAATTCTGAGCATATACATATACTTACATGCGAGTTCACCAAAACTGCAAGCACTTTTTTTATTTTTCTTTGTCTTTTATTTAATTATACTTGTTTTACCTTGTAATTAATAGAAATTGTTTTTTAAATAAAAATTTTTCTTTGTATATGCGGTTTAGCTTATTTCAATATGTATTACTCTCAGAATAAGAAGAGAGTGGTTTTGCCTATTGGCACCTATGAAACTGTCTCCCTAGCTTTGAAAGTAGATCACGATATGAGCTACATAAAATTTATTAATAAAATTAAGCGAAAAAAAATTTAGATTTTTCAAACACTACTATGTGTTAGCAATTTAAAAAGTAGTATATTATTAACATTATTTATCTAATTTATAAAATAATTAATTCACGCATATTCCGTTATTTACATATGTATAAAAAATTTTTCATTAGAAGCTCACAAAACTGAAGTATTTAGTCATTGGGAGAAAAAAGGAAAAAGGGATTTGTGCGGAACAGATTGGAGGTAGGGAGGCGTATCCATTTTAACTGCAAAGTTAATTTAAATTCCGATTTATTAATGACTGAAGAAGTGTGGATTAAATAAGAGGAAAGGCCTTTTAGTAAAAGTTTGTACTCCTAAAAACTTGTTGTGTTTGTACAAAAAATCTAGGACACTAAGGGTGTAATTTTTAAATAATAATATATAAATAAAGTTCCGTCACAAAGTGTATTGTAATATGTGGTCAGAAACAAATTTTATATAATAAAAAAAGTGTATATTATAGAGTTTAACTTGTAATAGAAGAACACTGACTGACTAATAAGCAAGTGCAGTAATGACGACTGTAATAGTAGCGCTGAAAGGGAAGAAGAGTTAATTATCTTAAAGACAACGTCGAAAAGCAGTAAAACATTGAAAAAAGCTTGAAAAGGGTGGTTTTCTATAGGGTAACTTTGCTTAGGAATTTTTTCTCAGGGTAATTTTAAGTTAAACTGGAACCTTAACGTAAAAGCGTCTAGAACCTGAAATCTGTTAGTATAGTTATATTATGTAGTTTTGAACTTTCAAAAAATAAATATATGTCCATGATGTAAAGAGAATGCTAGCAACTGCTTAAAAAATTTGAAATATTAATATTTTAGGCAGTTTAAAAAAAAAGCGCATAGGAGATTTAAACTAGTAAGTTGTCAACGTTTAGCATATTTGGATTTTTTTGCCTTTTTTAAATCCCATTTCAATGTGCTTTAGTATAACCTAAGGGTAATGATAATGCTATGAACTCTCCAGAACACCGTATTAAAATTTTGTTATATGGTTGTTTGGTTAAATTCATACAGAGAGGGTATACGATATCTATGGAGTGCTGATTTTACAGGCTGTAAGACTTTAAGAACATATATATTGTTGACAGTAAAGTAATATAATATAGATAGCACAAAGTATATTGGAGACAGTGAAGTGCTATAATAGGAAAGTCAAAGTATCTGAAAGCACTTTAAATTTATTTATTTATTTTAGATTCCCCAGACGCACCAAACCCAACCAAACTATATAACAAGGAAGAAAAAAAAAACTGCAGCAGGTACGCGAGTCAAACATATAATTACACGTGAACTGCACTTGAATACTACCCTTGTATTATATTACCTTCCTCTTTCAGCTATATCAAAGGAAATAGTTGATATATATACACCTTGTACTTAACCTGCACAACAACACCAGGTCGCATTAAAAAGGGTTAATTAAGAAGTTACAAGGCCAATATATTAGACTTTCTCAATTTGAAAGTATTCGAGTGGTTTTTTAAAAAATTGGTATTCTAACAATCCATTATCACTAGACAATTTAAAAGCATATAACCCTAAGACTCTTTCCTCCGAATCCATCCATTGTGACAGATATTATGGCAGACCTTAAACGTTCACGCTTACCGTAAACGTTTAAAACAATTTTTTCTGTTTGAAGAGTTTGAATACTTTGCCTTGATACCTTATTTACAGAGAGGTTCATTAGGCCTAAAAATGCAAGTAAGTACTTTATAAATATCATTCCCGAAAAAAAAGGTATAAGGCCGCCCTTGTAAAATAATAAATTTTTTAGTATATAGTTTCTGCATTTATAATTTTCTTATAATTCGGTCACTAAACTAGATTGTGTCAGTGCACAAACATACCATTTTAGGGAAACATATTTTGTTCAGTTTCTCATTTAAATTACGAAAGTTACCTACGTGCCGTTGGGGCTCGAGAAGTATGGAGGCGCAGCTATTTAATCAGTTCTGCGAAGCATATAAGGAGTTGACGTTTCCTCTGCTTAGCCAGTCCCACCTAAAGACCATTTAATTTCTCAGCGCTTGACGCCTTTCTTGTAAATAATTTCTCAGCTGTTGAATATGGGGAACCTTAACTATAAGCATCACGCTTGGAACTGCGCTTTGTAAGACCACAGTACCTAAGTACATAAAAAAGACAGGAACCTCATACGTGCCAAATATCGCCTTTTTTAAAAAATATTCGTTTTTCAACGGCAACTGAAGTTCTTTGCAAACTTTCTCTAACCATCTGCCAGTCCTGCTTGAGTAGGGCGAACGGGAAGAAGTTATTGAGCCCAATATACCAGAACTTTGACGGACTGGGGTAAATTTCCAAGTCCCTCAGTACGACTCTAACATCTTAGGTGTTGCTGTTGCTGATTTCGAGGGCATTGTGACCTGGCGTACCACACCGTCATAACGACACATGAAGTTGAGTACCTCCCTAATCACTTGCCTGATTGGTTGAAGACCTTATCTGTACACGTCAACTCATTAAAACGGCCCCGTGGTCACAACGACCCTAAGACAATTAGCGGTAACCAGCTATACGCACCGCAACCATTGGTGAAAAAACAAATTGCGTCATACCTTGGAAGCTGGCGGTGACAGTCGCGTCTCTTTCAGGCATTTTTTAAGAAATACAGAAATCGAGTGCCTTTACCCTTTACTCTTCTACGAAGCGGTGACTCCGTGGGGTAGGAGACGACGTAGAACGCCACTTGTTGCTAATCGCCTCGCTGCTCAATGGGTGCCAGCTGTTTCATTGGTTGCAGAGAAAACTCTCCTCTGTGCGTGGAGTATTCTAAGGTCGAAGGTAGGTTGAGCCAATCATTACAGTGAATTTAAAAACATTGAAACCCTACAAAGATGGATGTGGTCATGCCAAAAATGCTAATGATAGCGGTGAATCAACATCTACTTCCCTTGGCACTGGAAAACGGCTACTGTTGTGATACTTACAATGACATCGTGACCATTTCTCTACTCTAAACATACGGGCCTATTATCCCCTTTTCCGTGGTGGGCAAAGTAGCTGAAACCGCCATGCTGTGCCATTTGAAAGAGTTTGTTGGCGCAAGCCATGCCCTGGCAGTTTTCCAATTTGGGTTTCGACAAGGACATTCCACGACACAACAGCTACCTCCGCCCCTTTTCCCTCCCTGTTGAAAGGGGCTGTTAGTGCCTTCAATTTTAAGAAGGCGATGGGCGCAGTTTCTCTTAATGTTGATAAAGAGAGCGCAGTAGCTCTAGTTACTGTTTTTTTCAAGTGATCAAATCCTACTGTAAGGACCGCCTTTTTAATACACGTCAAAACCTGCCCTCGTTTTCCCCCTATTTCTCCACACTTTATGTGCGCGACATTTTATAGTCCGACAACCTATAACGAGGACTATTCGAAGCATTACTTTGGCTCAAAGTCGCTTGCCTTAATGAGCCAGCATCTCCAGTACTACCTAGTGACCCCCGCCACTGGTATTATAATTAGAAGAAAACCATTTTTAAAGAAGCAGTTCACCACTTTGCTTACTTTCGAAGGCGGGGTAACCCCTTGGTACCTCCATGCGATGTATTCTATATAGCGGCGAAGGCAAATCAGGAGCTCAAACTCCTTATCCTTTACTTTGTAATAGAAGCAAACTCTCGTTGCACAACAAGCTGCGATTGTTTGTGTTGTGTACCCATCCAATCATTACCTACGCGTCTACTGCCTGGGCCTACGACTCACCGGCAATGGTCTCTTCGCTTCAAGTGAGACAAAACAAGGTGCTACCCTTTAAAGGGGCGCTTCTTGGTTTGTTCGCCACATTGTCTTGTATTAAAACCTTCAGATATATCCCCTGACTATCGTTTTTTTAAGCAGTGCTAATACCACCTACGAAAACGACTAATTCCACATTTAATCAATTACTGATAGAAGAGCTAAGTTAGAAAACGGTTATCCCCACCCCCGCAACGGGCTTGGAATTTAAGTTATGGTAGAGTTAACTTCTTTTGACCTTATAGTAGCCGCAGGGGGTCTCACAGATCTGGAAGTTATTTGGTTTTCTATATTATCAGATAGATAGAAGATAAAATTTAGTGTGATCTGTACCCTAATATCTCAATAAACAACAACTGTTCAAAAATTAACATTACTTTTTTCTAATATAAAAGTAAAAAATTTAAAACTCAAGCAGTTGAAGAGACCTACCGCTACTATTGCAGGGTTAAAATGTAAGCTATCACCCTTTAGGGAGCTCGTATATTCGGTGTTTTTTAGATCCGATCGGTCCTCGTACACCAGACATCCATCCTCGTGGGATTTCATTAGTATGCATAGTGGACTTGGCGGCCGCCACGGCTAAATGTCTAGCAGCAGACTAATAAACGAAATATTTCTTTTTACTTTAGCTAATATTGCAGCCTTCCTGGTATGCAAGTGGACTCTGGAACGGTATGCCGAAAAAACTTCCCGTTCACCGCCACCTTTTCTGAAAGAATACTTGTCTAAAAAAAAAATCAAAGTAATTCTTTACAATTTTTTTTTACTTATATCAGCTTTAGGTAGCGCTCCTACTAAACTTCTAGTTAAATAAATATGAGGAAACTATAGCTAGCGAGGTAGCAGATCCTTTGACCTTGAATATCAGCTGGAATGATATAGGAGGCTTAGACACAATAATGGCCTCTTTACAAGAAATTGTAGGCTACGTTCTTATGTACATATATTAACTAAAAATAACCTTCAAAATTATATTTAGATAGTTTTGCCTTTGTGTCGCCCAGATATTTTTAACGGAAAATCAAAATTGTTGTTACCCCCAAAAGGTTAAGCGTCTATAATTTAGTAGTCTTTTACTAAAGTAGAAAGTAGGCATCTTGCTTTACGGAAAACCTGGCTGTGGAAAGACATTGGTCGCAAAGGCCATAGCCAAGGAAAGCTGTAAATTATTGTAACTTTATTCATTATTACTCACAAGGTTTAATGGCGAGAAGAGTAATAAGCATCTTTTTACGCGTTGCATTCATTCCTCCCGCATTTAATTTATATATATTTCGTAGCCTGTTTCTTTATAAATCTTCGGATATCCACTATTATGGAAAAGTGGTATGGCGAGTCACAGAAACTAGTCAATGCTGTTTTTACGCTGGCTACTAAACTACAACCGTGCATAATTTTTATCGATGAAATTGGTTATCACTAGAATTTTTGTTTAATTTAATTTATAGCTGAACATAATAGACTCTTTTCTGCGTGAACGAGCGACCAACGATCATGAATCCACAGCTATGATGAAGGCGCAGTTTATGTCTTTGTGGGACGGACTAGAATCAGAAACTTCCAGTAAGCTGATCATTATTGGTGCTACCAACAGGCCGCAGGTAGGCTTGTGGGGATTTTGTCGACATTTACTTTTTTTTAATTTAAAAAAGGACATAGATTCCGCCATTCGGAGGCGGATGCCGCTTATGTTTCACGTCGATCTTCCTGATGCCTCTCAGAGAGAAGCTATATTACGGATTCTTCTTCGGAATGAGCCCGTCGATCCTCAACTTAACTTCACTTCACTCAGGTGTGCATTTAAAAGCCATGTGATTAAATCGCGACAACGTAAATTTCCTTGTTAGCCAGTCTTTTCCAAACAAATCGGGCAGCGAAATCAAAGAGATTTGTAGTCCTTTTGGTATATAAATAGTCTTTGCCTCGGCCCTAATCCGCCTGTAGGTAGGCTAGCTGCGATGCACACTGTGCGGGATTACTTAAAAGACGAGAAATTATTCGGCCCACACAAGACTAAAAGGCGCCTTATAAAATTTGAAGATTTTAAAAAGGCGCTGGAAGAATTTGAAAGGTCTCGCCAGTTGTCCTCCTTTATTCAAAGTTGGTAATGGTTGCCAAAATAAAACGATCGGCCTTCAGGCTTAACTTCTGTTTAAGCTTATTTTCCTCCCTAAGTTTAAATTTTAAAAATTGAAAATTTAATTAAATTGTTTCTTAAAAGGACCATTAAAATTATTTTGGCTAACAAGCTTCGTTAACTCAATATATTATTATACTATTTTTTTTCTTTTTTTTAAAAAGTGATTTAAGAGATAAAATAAATCTGTAGTGACCCACTATCTAAATTAAGTTACTATTTTTTTAAAACTTTCTTTTAGTGCTAATTTACATGTATTAAACAATTCACTTCACTTTAAAATGCGTATAAAAGTTCTCCTTGCTTCATTGCCAGTTGTGATAAGGCTAATAATTTAACATATAGAGCGGAGCTCCTCTACAAAAAAGTAATGGAAACATTGAATTGTATACACTAATCAATTTAAGCTGGGTGTTGCGTATCAGGTATATTTAGACTTTAAAAACCGCAGTGTGCTTTGATCTTTAAAGCGTTTTTTCCAAGTGTCACTACGAATGTGCTAGTTTGCAATGGCTAAGGTGTGGATTTGTATAAGGCAAACGAGAATGGCTTCCAGTAGAACTTCTGCGGTAAACTGACGCGGTTGTGAGAGCGTAATGTCGATATAAAGGTGAAAGGCAGCGGTTTTTTATAACGGTGAAAGAAAGTAAGTTCATAGGACGCCTAGTAGGCTTTGCAGCTTGTGCTAAAGATTTTTATCATCTAAAAGCGGGACCTTTGTGATTTCCATAACAGAAACCTCCTAGTTAACGAGACGCAGTAGACGCTGTATCGTAGAGTCGAGCTATGTATAAAGCCCAACTAAAATTTTAGCAGCACAGTCCCTTCTCAAGAAACGCCTCCAGCAGGCAGTAGCATAACAGTTTAAAAGGTTTTCTCCTACTCTAAAGCAAATTAATCCAACATTATCTGCGGAGTTTTAAGTATTGCTACTGTCACTCACACTATCATAACAGTGGCCAACTTTAAACGCCTTGGAAAAAAAAATGCCAAGCCGTATCACAAAGTTTGAAGAGTAGAGTAGATGCCTTATCTCTATCTGCGCTCAATTTTCTAGCCACTTTTTTAATGCGTCGTAGTGCAAGAAGACTTTCGTTGCAAAAAACTCCAAGACATGAAGTAATTTATAAAGTCTCCTCTTTTTTTGAAAAAAGTTTATTTTTACATTGTCATTACTAAATTAATGACTAATAAAAAAATTGGTAATAAATGTCACACATAAGTAAAGTTTGGTAATCGATAAAAAGTAAATAGATACTAAAATAAGAAATCTGCTGAAAAAGAATCTTTTTAAAGTTATCTTCTTAAACGTCAGATGATTTCGTTCTTTCTGGATAATACGCCTTCTTAAAATCCTAAATTACTAAGATAATACCAACTGAATTACTCATAGATGTTATATTAGATGAGAGCCCCACGAAGATAGGTAAACCTTATTTGTTAAACATCCGATAGGTTTCGATTTCTCCGTGTCTGTACTAAGGCTCTAGATGTTTAAGTATCAGAATCTACTAGCTTTTCAATAATTTATGAGTTGTAGATTAGCCAATCATTTTCTCGAGTTTTCATAATGATAAAACGTATAAATTAATGCAGGTCAAACCAAGAACAGAATCGGCAATTAACTGCACGAGCCATCAGAAAGCTACAGGTATTGACAGTTACAAAGTTTATTTGACAGTCTTAATTAAAAAATCCGTTAATTATCATTAGTATTATAATTTTTGTTAGATTATTTATAAAGTGATTCTATAATAGCGCTTTTTAGTGTGTGAAGAATTTTTAAAGACCTCAAGTTAAGAAAGGCACCGAACATATTAAGGTTGCTTATAATTATAAATGCCAATTTTTAATAATATTAAACTATAGGTTATTTTTTAAGTATATAGTTTTTCTTAGCTTTATTAATTATGGCGTTCTTAAATAAACTATAATTAAACTGGAGTACATTAATATAATATCACCTCCAATTGCCTTTTAAATTACCACATTTAAATGAGCTGAAACTAAAAAAGATTTTTTATATAAATATAAAATCTTTTTTTTAAAACCGCTTAATATAGGGTAAACTCAGTTCATCCTTATTTTTAATCAAATAGAACAAGATAGCTATAGTTTAATAACCTCTCTGAGGCAAGCATCCTAAATAACCATATTAAGCTCACTCTTTATTTTTAAGTTCTTTGACTCCCGATAAAATTTATTTAAAACTTTAAAGAATATTGTAAATGTATCCTCGGGGGCAAAAGACACTTTGGTGAAATATCTTGAGTTACAAAGTATAGAAGCAACTCGCATGGACCCTGGGCTTAAAACGTTTGAGTAAATTGACTAATGATGTGGAGAACTAAACTGTATATATCCGATAACTGGAAATGCAGGGTCGACAATTCTACTAGTGATTAAATTTTAGAACCGTAAGTAGAAGGGAAACGATGTGTTAGTGGCAGTTAATTTTGAACCTGCACGCCTAATAACTCGAGTCTCGGTAGGTGGATGTACTTGATACACTCTTTTCAAAAATTATGTGTGCATTTTTTTGAACAAAATTGAGAGGTTTGCTAAGTGGACCATTTTTATAACCCCGTTAGCGGCTGCCAGTTTTTCAAATTAGAAAGTAAAAAAATAAACTGCAATTTTGAAATCCCACTGACAAGCTTTGTGGGAGATGACAACCCGTTCGAATCTGGAAATAAAAGATCTTAGGTTTGTATAATTAGGAGCTAATAGGCCCCTAAGCAAACTCCGAAAAAGCCGACATCTTTGCGGAATTTTGTATCGACATTATACGACCTCACTCTTGGCGGTAAAGACCACAAGTTGCATTACTTACTTTAAAAGCCTTTACGAATGAAGATGAGGAAGCGTGAGTTCTAATAAAATTTCAATACTTTGTACTAAAATCTTCCTAATACTGCAGTTAATGAGCTTATTAGCTCATTTATTACTCTTGGTTATTTTCCATTTAAAATAATTGGAAGCAACTACGGTTAGAGTTATCACTTCTTATAAGCTTACAATCCTGCTTGGGGAAAATTGAAAAAACTGTGTTTTTCTTAAACTTGCATATTTAAAAAAGATTTAGCTCATCAGTATGGTTTTTGAAGGAGTCATTTCACCGCTTAACAAAAATAAAGTTAGTGAGAAACACGACTAATGCCCTTAACCACAATTGATTCAGTGTTTCGGTATTTTTGGAGCTTCAGAAAGCTTTTAGACGATATGGCAATAAAGTATTACTAATGAAATGATAAGATTGGCGTTTCCAGCCTAATTAAATGGAAGTATAGGCTTATTTCTTAGCGATCTTTAGTCACGAAAACGGTAGAGTTGAAGGAACCAGTACTGGACGCCGTTAGTTATCTTCCTAATATAAAGGGAATACAGTGGAGTAATGTGAGCAATCCTAAAGAGAGGTTCAAGAAACACATTTCAAAGGCTTTATTTAAGTAACAAGCTTAATAATCGACAGGAAGCTGCCTATACACAATGGGCTTGTACATGATGTGGATAATAATTTATCAAGTTCCAATTGAGTTAAGTGGAAAATAATACAGGTATTAGAGCAAAACTATAAAGCATATATTTTTAGAATAGATAGTGTTTAAATGGACTTATCTTGGATTCAAGAGTTTAGTAGTTAGAGAATAAACAACTCCCCTAAGCAAACTAATTAAGCGTGCACCAGGAACTGGTAAGAGAAAAAGTTTTGTAATTGAAAAAAAGAAGCTTTAAGTACGTGCAAAAGTAAATACTACCAGACCAACAGAAACAAAGAGCGTGAAGTGGTTTAGGTCTCTGAGCTTTTGATCAAAGAAATAGTTGATAGCAGCTACTCTGACGATCTTTTTCTTTGCGACATAAAAAATATACCCAAAAACTTGTATGACATGGGGTGGCAGAAACACCAAGTAGCATTATTTTACTTGAACCCTTCAATTTATAACTTTACAGTTCTTAGAATGGAGGGGACTTAAATATAGTGCAGGTAACAGGAAAACACGCAATAAGTAAAGATAATTATAACCTCTTCATATTGTGGATGAAATCTCGTATAAGCTTACTAAAAATGCACATTTAAAAAAATTTTGAGCATTAATAATGGAACCCTTATCTACCTTATCGTTCAAAATGTATAAAAAAATTTATAGAGGAAGGTTATACACCCTTTTATTGATTTTTTATTCTATTTAATTAAAAGTTTTTTTTAAGAGTTTGTAAGGAGAATTGTGAAGGCTGTCGGAATTTATATCTGAAAAAGAGAGAATTAATAACAGTCACAAAAAGAAGAGCAGATCTATATAAATCTCTAATATTATAATATTTGTTTATCAAGTTTAAATAATTTTCCGTGAGAAGAGTTTTCAGTTAAAAATTTTGTCAATAATATTCGTATTTCCGATTTGCACACGCGGTTATCTACAAAATGCAAATACTGCAAAGGTTGGTTTTTCTTTCAAAAATTGTTTTAGGAAAGACGGCGTACAAGTATATTGGATTTCAATGTCCTCAAAATAACAGCGCACAGTTGAACAGACCATTTTAAAATGTCTAATTCGTCAAGAGAGCGCACTCTAGTAACTTTATCACCTAAAGTGTTAACAAGACATATTAAAAAAATCTTTTAAGAACTATAACATATACAAAAAAAGTTATTACATAGGCTTAGAATCTCTGTCACAAAGAGCTGATTGGGCAGAGGTAATTTTTAAGTTGCTTATTAAAATATATATAATCAAGCCCCTCTCATTGAGTTTGTTGTTTAAAAATATAGTTATGTTGCCTTACAGATATATGGGCTATAATAAAAAATTATTCAACAAAATGTATTTTCATTTTATTTCTTATCGCATTTTTAGGGTATGATACCCTGAGGATACATTTCCAATATTTTTTTAAGTTTTGAAACAACTTCGTCAGAATTTATAGAACTAAAAATAAAGGTTGAGCTTTAATGGTTATATGGGATGAGAGTCTCAAAGTATAGAGAGTATTATACTATGGCCACTATGTTCTAATTGATTCATATATATATTGCTAACTAAAGTCCCTTTACTCAAGCGAATTTTGAAAGCTCCATTTTTTATTTTCGTAAAAGATCTTCTTTGTATGTGCTTATTAAAATATATGGTAAATACGAAAAAATATTGGACGTGAATATTATAATGTACCCCAGGTTGAGTGGGGTTCCTTTAGGGACGCCATGATTATGGAAGCTAAGAATTCTAAGTAATTGAAAAATAACCTATAGTTTAATATTATTAAGAATAGGCAATTATTATTTAAGCAACCTTGATTTTTTCGGGGCCTTTTTTTACTTGGAGCCTTCGATAATTCTTTACACACAAAAGCACTATAAAAGTTTACTTTTAAGGATAATCTGAAAAAGTAATAATAATTTAGCGTATACCTAACGTTCCACTGTTGCAGAGTACTTATAAGTCTTTTCTTTCATCTTTCCCAAACCTGGCTCGTAGCTATCTCTGAAATATAGTTATACAACGCTTAGCTATATGCAGTAAACAGAGTGGCTCTTCTAATTAAATTTGAACCTAGTGGGGGCTTTAGAGATTTTTAAATTAGGCATGCCGTTTTTCTCTTCGAAGTTTTTACCTTGCAGAACACAATCCAACTCAAACACTTTTCTTATAGTCAGCAATCGATCCTTTTAAATATACAGTTTACAAAAAAAAGAGGTATAGAAAAAAATAGGAAACAAGTAAAACCTATTAAATGCCTAAAAGCTATTGGTTCTTCTCTATTTAGAGAATTTCTTTTATATCTTAATATCGGCTATTAGTAGCTTCATTTTTAGTTTTTCGTATTACTACTGGTACTTGAATTGTGGATTCTACAAAATTACCAAAATTGGGTGACGACCCAGTAATAACTTTATAACTCATTCAAACTTCTTATCTTGGCAGTATGGGATGTAAAAACCAACATTTAGCCGCTTATATTTTTTAACATCTTCGTTAAAGTTATTAAGATCTTTATTAACTAAGATAAACTCTTTAATATATTTCATTACTGCTTCTTGCTTAAAAAGTCATTGAGCTAACGTCGATTGTGCCTTTTGTGATAACAAATCAGATTTTATAAAAAGGTTCGCCCGACCCCGTCAAGCAATTACATATTTCGTTTTATTATTTTTCCAAGACACGAAGTTTTACATTTTCAGGTCATACTTTTTTATTATTATTAAAATACAGAACGATGTAATTTTAAGAAACCGAAAGTACCGAAGGCATCGTTGTGCAATATGCATTCTTTTCTTAAAATAACTCTTTAGGAGAGCTTACAAACGAGTTAAAAAACTCTAAACCGTTTTCAAAGGCAATTTAACTTATACTTCTTTCTGTTGATTATAACCATTTACTCCAAATAACGAAAGGCTACTTAAAAATCTTAACGTGATTTGTTTTAAAAAAATCATCTTTTCTTGGTTTTTTTGGTTTCTATTCCTTTTACTTTAACACTGGCTAAATATATTATGCTGAGTCAAAAAACTTTAAAAACATAAAGTAATTCAGAAGGGGTAAGTTTAAATTTAATAGAATCAAAGAGCGATTTTTTAGTTGCCCCAGGGTAAACATAGATTTATACTTTCCTGCAAACAACAATATTGTGTGACTAACCTATTCTGGTCGTACTAGTTCTTAGTAATAGGACTGTGGTGTAATAGCTTACAGAGTCATTAAAACATAATCTCAACTGTAAAAAGTGACTGCATTTGACATCAACTTCAAAATGTAAACTATTTACCTCACCTCAGAGCTACTATAACCATACTAAAACAATTTTTGGAAGAAAAACCAATATTTGCATTGTTGCACCTGTAATAAGAAAATAATCTCAATAACATTAGCGGATTTAAAATTAACTTTTTAAGAACTATCAAAGTAAAACAGTTAAACAGCTAATTAAGCTGTTTAAGTTCTGTTGCATTACTCGCACGAAACCAATTTAAAAGTTCTTTTGCGTGAGAACAAAGAAGTTCTTGTAAAAATTAAAATGACTTCTAATAGTGATCTATCGAGTTACTTTTTAAAAGAGTGTCAGGGAAAAATAAGAATCTTTCCACCATTTCATATTTTAAATAAATTGAAAAAACAAAGAAAAAGAGTGGATAAGGATCCTTTTTTATGAATTTAAACTGTTCGAACAAGAAATGAATTGTAAACCTTAAATAACGGAGTAGTTGGATGTATCATGCTACAGTGTTTAACATTTTTTATGAAATTTAATTTAATTTAATTTTACATAATTTCTGAATTTTTTTATTTCTTGAAATATTATTAGTATTTTAATGTATATTTTTAATAAGCTCTATAAACGTATATATTTATAATCTCTGATTGTTTGACACCGTAAACTATTTTTTTTGCTGGGATTTTTGCTATTAGCCTTAAACCCACTTCCTACAATATTTAATAAAAAGAGAAAAGACTATGAATGAAAGCGTCTATGTGGTAGTTTATTAAAGTTCTTCCAGAACGTCAAAAAAAAGGAATATAATTATAACATAACCATTTATTATTAAATTAATCGCAATTTAAAATATTAAACTTCAAAATGACACGAATTTTTAAATTTTTATTTCTTTTTCAATCGCACCGACTTTACTAAATATGTTTAATCGAAAGCTATTGTAGTACGAAGATAGCGCTTCAGGGAGATCAGTTCCATTTTCCTAATATTATTTGTATATAATTTTGATACTTCAATATTTTTATAAAAAGTATAATATATTACAAACAATATATTTTTGTAGTATAAAATTTTAAACCTTTTTCTTTATTAAAATCTTTTACTTTATTATAATTAATAAATAAATAAAATTTAAAAAATTAGAAGAGCAGAGTTCTTACTAAAAAAAAATTACTTTTTTCTAATTAATTTATAATGTACAAAACCTTGTTACAAACTGAAACAGAATTGTAGACAAAAATAAATAACTATATTATATAGTAATTTTATATAAATTTCAAAAAAAAATTTTTAATCCAAACATAGTAGTTACTAAAATGAGATTTAAAGAAAATAATTTGGAGATATATAATTACTAGAAATAAAAAAAAATCAATTACACAAAATAAAAAGTATATAATTTTTTTTAAGAAATACATAAAAAAAAGCAGTTCAAAATTTTTATATAAGAAATAAATCTTTAATCTAGAACAAAATTGATAAAAAAATTAAATCATTTTGTAACAATAAGTTTTATAATAATAATCAAATTTCAAAATATCAAAAAAAAATGGTTAAAAGGAAATAAAAAATAAAAAAGTTATATTTTTATATTAATTTAAAAAATAATATACTTCTTTATTAGTAATTTACAAAAAAAAATAAATTTGAAATTTTTTTTTTTCAAAAGTGAAATTTAAATAAATTTAATAAAATTATTGCTTAAGAGTTTGAATAATATAAAGAATAAAAAAATGTAAAAATAAAATTAACAAAAAAAAAACCCATTAACGTTTTAAGTTTAAAAAAAAAATTTATTAACGATTTTTAAAAAAAAATATTTTTTTTAATTTCCTTAAAAAATTATTAAATAAATTATACAACTTTAAATAAAAAATTAACTAAATATAATATTTTTAAAGTTTCAAGACAAAAAAGAATTAGTTTTTAAAAATAATAAAACATTTAAAAAAAATAAATTATTTTAATTTACAAAAATATTAAATAAATAATATAAAACGACAACAATAAAAAACTGTAAAGTTTAAAAATTAATAATTATTACTATAATTTTTTTAAAAAAAAAAAATTATTTTTAAAAAGAAAATTATTCAAATTTACTTACAAAAATATTAAATAAATAAATAATCTTAAAAGTATATATTTTTACTGTTTTGTATTAATAAAATTTTTACCGATAAAAATTAAAAACATTAACTTTGATAATTTTTATTTTTAAAGTTTTAATTAAATATTATAATATTAAAATGTTTTTAAATATATTAAATAAAAAATTTATTTTTTTTATTGTTAATTATAAATATTAATTAAAAAATCGTTAAAAAAAATTTATTATTTATTTTTCACATTATTACACAAAATTTACTAAAACTAATTTTTAAATATATAAAAAATCTAATAATAAATATATATTTTATATTGAATTTTTTTAAATAGACAGTTAAGCAAAAAATAATCATAAGTAAATAATATATAAATTATGAAATTATACACGAAAAAAAAATATTATAAATTATAAAATTGTATCAAAATTATTTATAAAGCTTCATTCTAATAATAGTTGGAAAAGTTTATTAATCTTAAAGTTTTATTATAAAAAACTGTATTAAACTTTCTGATTAATAAAAATTGTAATAGTAAATTAAATTATTAATTAAAAAAATTTTAATTTTTTTTTCATATTTTAATTATTTTATAAATAAAAAGGGAATTTTATATCAAGAAACGTATTATCTTTTAATTTTCAGCCAATGAAATAAAGAAGAAATCTAAACGAAATCAAAAAATTCCTTCGTATATAGTTATTATAAATAAATTATAATTAAAATTCATATTATAAATATATTATACACTTTAAATTTTAGTAACCGATAAAAAAATTGATTATAGAAAAATTATAAAATAAAATTAACTTCACAAGTAAAAATGAATTATGTATTATAAACAAAAATATTATAAATGAATGAAACTTTTTCATTATATAAATTTTGCTTTTTAATTTTTCTAAGCAATAAAGCGAGGCGAAATTCAAACAAAGAAGTTAAAAAAATTATAACAAACTATAATTGACAATTTTTTTTTTGAATTAAATTTTATCATAAAAAATATTTCGTATACTAAATTTTTAAACCAATAATGCGATATAAAAATATTAAGAGAAATTAGTAATTAATTGCTTCATTAATGATTATTTATTACCAATAAATATTAATTAAATTTTATAATAATATCTATTATTTAAAAGTATGATTGATATGTTTTAATATTTTAACCAATAAAAAATTAAAAAATTGTATTATTTAAAAGATATAAGAAAAAAATAACTTCATATGAACGACTAATAATAATAAAAATAATAAAAATTCTTGATATATCATTATTTTAATACCAATAATAGTAAATAATGATTATTAATGATATTTCTATTATAATTTTGAATATATAAACTTAATATATTATAAATAGATTGAATTTTATTTCATACTTTAACTTTTTCTTAAAATTATCTCAAAAATAGCAAAAATAACATGAAAAACTGATTCCTATTTTAATTTTTCTGATAATTAATAAAAATGAAGTAAAGTTGATATTTTAATTATTTATTCCCAAAAAATAGAATATAAATTTTATAGTAATAATAGAATTTACTTCGTATTCTGAAGTTTTTTCCATAACAAGTAAACGGCGAGACCATCTAAAGGTAAGCGGATCTTCAGAATTCGAAATCAACGTTAAAGAAGGATGACTCGGAAGTTTCGACTCACTGTACCTAAAAGAAATATATAAAAAAAATTAGAAATAAATAATAAACATAAATAAATTAAGATATATAAAATATATAAAAGTATATTAATTAAAAATTAAGAGTAATACTAACAAAAAATATAAAAATATAATTTATAAACAAGTAATTATAAATTAATTCAAAATAAATAATATACAAAAAACATTTAGAAAAGTAATAAAGAAAGAAATAACGAAATAATAAAAAACTGAAAAGTAATTATTAAATGAAAAATAATAATAAATAAATATAAAAAATTATTTTATATACAAAATATATTATTAATGTTATTTTATTATTAATAAAAATAATTATTTTTAATAAATGCTAACCGCTTTGTTAATTGAAATATAAAGTTTACAGTAAATAAAAATAAAAAAGTTTTTTTTTTATATATTTATTAAAAAGTAAATAATAAATTGTTACTTTATTGTCTTTTATTATAATATTAAGTAAATAAAAAAGTTTATAAATTTATTAATTAATAAAAAGTTGTTGCTTTGTTGCTTTTTATTATTATATATAATAATTATTAGGTAACTAAAAGGTTTAAATTAGAAAAAATGAAAAATTATAAATTTATTAATAAATGAAAAGTTTTTACTCTATTGCATTTTATGATAAGTAAATATGTTTATTAAGTAAATAAAAAGTTTATATAAAATAATAATAGAAATAAAAATTTTAATAAAAATATTTTAATATTTGTTAATAAGTAAATAAAAAGTTAATTATATGCTGTATTTTTATATAAAAAAAGGTAAATTTTATAAATTTTAATAAATATCTAATAAATACTATAAAAATAAGTAAATAATAATATTTTATATAAAAATAAAAAAATATCAATAAGTAAAAACACTAAAAATAAAACAAAATTGGTATAAAGTAAAAGTAAGAAGTTTTTTAAGTTAAAAAAAAAACTTCACAAGTAAATTATATAAAACTTCTATTGAGAATTCAACAAAAAAAAAAATTCAAAAATAATTTGAAGTTTTTGTTTAAAAAAAATAAACTTTAAATTTATGAAATAAAAAAACTTGTAAAAAACAAAAATTAAAAACACCTATAAAAAAATGAACAGTAGAAAAACTTTTTATAGAAAATATATTAAAATTCTATAAAACTTTTAGGAAAAATCAAAAAAATTAATTATAAATTTTTTTTATAATAATAAATAAATTATAAACTTATAAAAAAATAAAAAGACGAAAACTTCCTTAAACTTTTACTTAAAATATAATAAAAACTACAGAAATAAGTTAACTATCAATTTTTTTATTAAAAAAAATTAAAATATAAAAAAAATAAATTAATATAAAACTTCGTTATATAAACTTTTATTAATTGAAAAAATTGAAAATTCCAACAAAAATAAGTTGACTTAAAAATTTATGATCCAAAAATAAGATAAAGTTAAATTAAATAATAAAAAATTTAAAATTATGAAAATTTCATTAGATGTTATTAAAAAGCAAATTAAAAAATACAAGAATTATAAACCATTATAAAAAATTTTCATACAATAAAAATCTAAAAAATTTTAATAAAAAAATTAATGTAAAAACTTTATAAAAAAAACATTTTAATAAGTAAATTAGCCAACTTTGGTCGAAAGGTCGGCAGCCAAAAAACTAATCTTCCTCTTATTATGAGCCGCCGAGCTGAAAAGTCAAGCAAGTCGTGCAAAATGCGAGAAAGTGTATAAGGTCGGGTCCTTCGAAAGTGACTTCTTATATAAATATATAATAGTACAATGAGCCAATAAAAAACACAAAAAAAGTGACAAGTTGACCAATCGGATATTGAATAAATATATTTCATGTAAATTGTTTTATAAGTTATTTTAAATATTATTTTATGTATATTGGCGGCTGCTTCAGCGTAGTTCTTATAGTGCATCTCTCAGTGATACTCAGCGAAAAGGCGAGACAGCAGTTTAATGGATTTTTATGCTCTAAAGCCTCGGAGTGGAGTAGCCTTGTGGTTGACCCTTTCTACTACCCCTGGGCATCCGCATATTCCCATTTGATAAATCTCTTGTAATTAGGCTAAGCTACCTTGTAGTGCTGCTTTACTCTCCCTAATTTCTTGTAAGAATATCTCTCAGAAGTAACCATTTGTTAATAATGAACATCTAAAAATAAATATTTTATTATACGTCGTTCCATATTAACCATCTGGGAACCGTAGCGTGATGGTGCTCAGGCGGCTAAAGAGCTTTAAACCATATTATTACAACTCTTCTTGATGTTAACTCGCTCTATATTATATTTTTATGTATTATAATGCCCCTATGTACTCTTACATATTAATTATTTATTAGTGTTTGAAGTTTTCAGCATTTACGAAAAGTTTATAAAAGGGGAGTAAATATATTAAAAAATAATTGATAGAAACTTGAAAGAAAATAACTCGACTAATAAGAACTTGAGTAAGGAAATAATTCATTAGAGCGTTTAAGGTTATTGATAATTTATAATTTAAAAAATTAACCAATAGAATTTAAAAAGAAACTATTTGACCAATAAGATGTCAAATAAGAAATATTTTCAGTGTATTAAAAGTTACTTAAAAATTGTTAGAAGTTAACCAATAAAAACATGGAAAAGACAAATTGACCAATAAGAAATCTTTAACTTGAGTTTCTTAATAAATAAAAGTTAAACGTTTCTATAAATAAAAGTTAATAAAAAAAAGTTGAACATTAAAAATTAACCAATAGAAAAATATAAAAAAGTGACGAGTTGACCAATACGTATTTGAAACTTTAAATATTTTATTATTTTTGGGTTTATTAAAAAAAGGTATAATATTATTAAATACATTTGACCAATAAGGAATTTAATAATAAGTTTACTCTTTTAATAGTTTTATAAATCTTTACTTAAGAAAAAGTTCATCTCTACGGCAAGTTCTAGGATCCTCACGAACCCCGTAAGGAGCTGCAATAATATTATTAATAATAAGAATAAGAATAATAGTATAATTATAACGATCGCAAATAACAGCATCAAAAAGTGGGAAGGCCCGGAAACAAGGGTGGCTGATGTCGCCAATCATAACATCCAAAAACCGATTTGTCAGGCGGTACTGTTCAAAGCACGTGGCTAAAGAAGCGCCATCTTATTGGAGAATGCAAATTTTAGAGCATTGTGATTCGTTTGCAAGATTAATTATAATTACTAAACACAGAAGAAAGCATACTTTACTCCCAAACAAGTTATGAATAAAAAAAATTATTTGAAAAAAAAATCATAAAAGATAAATATAAATTAACTATGGAAATTTTTATAAAAAAATAAACCTCTCGGTGCAAAAGCACGTGAGTCGATGTCGGATCCGCCCACATACGCGCCGAAGTGGGCGCAGGCGAGCAGGAGACTGGCAGTTCCCACACAAGGATCAAAAACAAGATGACTTTCTTTAATTTTTCCTATAAATTTTGAAAAGATTATTTTTAATTCCACAAAGTTGTAGAAAAAAGAAATTTGGATCCTTTTTTTATAAGAAAAAAGTTAATTCAACTGAATTTAACTTTAAAGAGAAAATTTAGATTTAGATTAATTAGAATTTAAAATTAAAATTAAAAGTTTTTTGAAATTAAAAGTAACAGAAGTAAAAAAATTCTTTATTTAAAATAAGAAATTTAGTAATAAAATTTAAACCAAAAAATTTATTAACTTTTTAAAAAATTAAATAAAAAATATTTTTTAAAATATATAACCGCACGCCTTAAAAAATAAATTTCCTAAAATTAAATAACCTTAAATAAAATTTAGAATTTTTTTTATTTTTAATTAACGATCTTATAATTATAAGAATTCCATTCCGATCAGATTCTAAATAATAATTAATAAATTAAATTTTTCTACAAATAAATTATTTACTTTTCTTTTTATAAATCTAAAAAAAAGTGAAGCAAATTTTATATATAATAGAAAACTAATTTGGCGCACTAGAGGAAATTCAAATTTATTTAATAAATGATTTTTAGTTTTCATTTAAAAACAATCGGAGAAATAATTTTATACCTAAAATTTTTATAAATTTAAAATAAAGCAACTTTTGAATATTAAAAAAAAACCCAAATTAGCACACAAGAGACTCAGCTCGGCGCACATGCTAGTAGTCCCTACAAAAACGCGTGAATTCAATTTATACTGATGAACTAAATAACGTCCTTTTGAAACGGAAACTTCTTTTCCAATAAATCTTTTTTAATAATTTATATAAATTATTGTTATAAAAAGTTTGTTATTTTAATAAAAATTTATTATCAATTTGATCAATAACATAAATATTGAAAGTAATAATTATACAAGTTAGAGGCTTTAGTACGATCTTCTTTATTATAAATAGCCAAATATTGAATAACATGGTTAGGATTTTCAAGATCTACTTTTCCTAAAATACTTAAATTTTTAAAAATAGAAGGAAAATTCTTTAATTATAACTAACTTTGATAAATTATTAATTTAGGGAAAAGAAATTGGAATAAGTGAAGCTCTCTTACTAAAATTATTATAACGAAAAAATTTAGAATTAAATAAATTCTCTTTAAGATGAATATAAAAAAAAACTTTATTGAGAAAAAAATAATCTTAAAAAAGAATTAAAAATTAACTTTATGAAAAACTTTACTTTTTGCTTAATTTCATAAATAAAAAATTCACCTCTAAAAGGGATGCTAATAATTTTCTCTATAATTTCATTTTTTTCACAAACACTTAACTTCTTGTTAAATGAAGTTATACTAATTTTAAAACTTTGAGATTCTTCTAAATAATCTCCCTAAGAAAAGCTCTGATATACTTCAATTAAATCGATATATAAAAATATACGAAAGTTGAAAGAGGTAAACAATAAAAATTTCTAAAAAGCTCTTCATCATCGATTCCTTCAGCCCAAATTTCATAGATACCTCTAAAGTATAGAGTTCATTACCATATAATTAGTTAATATAACTGACACTGAACTAAATATCTTCTTTAGTTTTTTAGATTTATAATTTTATAGGTTAAATGCTTTAAGAATCGTATATAATAAAGGAATTTAACATAAACCAAAAGAGTAAGGAAATAAAGAACTTACTGCAGATAATAATTTAAGTAAAAAGTAAATAAACCTAATAAGAACGGAACGTTCACAGAACCTTTTAACTCCTTCTACATTATCTGTTTGTATCCAAACGTACGGAAGCTTACCGAATAATATTTAAAAAAAGATAAATTTTGTAATTAAAATTTACTAAGAAACTTTTTTCAAGTATTATAATTATTTATAAAATGGTCTAACAGCAAAAATAACTTTTTTTATGATCTCATTTAATAAAATTATGGAGCACTCAAAAAGCTCGGCTAAAGCTAGAAGCTCCGCTTCCCAGAAGTTTTGTCTAGTGTAATAAAATAGCACTAGCAACTTCATTATTACCTAAAAAGTCCCGTATAGTAAAATATAAGCAAAGATGAAAGTTTAACAAAGAGAAAACAAACTTTATATCTTTTTTCGTGGCGCACGGCTATATGATAAATTTTTATTTAAAAACTGGTCCTTCTCTAAAACAGATTGTTTTTCTGTACTATTAAAAAGTCCGTATCTAATAAACTTTTAATGTAACATTTGTTTGTATAACGTCCAAAAATCTGCTTTACGCAAAGTTGAAGCTCCACTTTGAAATCTATTTAGGTTTTATAAATCATGACAAAGTGCAACACGACTTGTTTTCACTACGGTCATAAGGTTACGTACAGTTTAGTATCCACAAGTAAAGGAGTTTGAAAAACTTTAAGAATTTAACTATACAACATAAGAAACAGTCGCTCTTACAAAAAAATTTTCAGGGCCATTGTTAACTACACGTATAGTACTTATTATTAAAGAATTTATAGTAAAAGTACGTTACGATAAATTTATCGCGCTGTTTTTAAGATTTTACTAGTAATGCGTTATTATAACTTGTCTTAAACCTTTGTTAGATGCATCGCTATTGTTCATCTTTTTTGGAATGCAAGTTAGAGGTAGGTATTGTTATTTTTTATTTAAAGTTTAGTAAAGTTTTTAAATAAGATTTTTTTATGCTAGTTTTTTTTTTAAAAAACGTCCAGCTTCGCAAGACGATTTATCTGGGTGCACGACCAGAGCTTCACCAAAACTCCACAATAGCCAGTTTTTAACGGGTGTTTAATATAGAGAACTTGATAACCATCTCACTCCTTGCAGCTTGATGCTTTGAGTTTAACACAAACCTACTGTGTTTCTCTAACAGCTTGCTCAAAGACTCCAATACAACGGCCTTTGAGGAATATATGAACTTTATTATAAATATTCCAAAAAAGTGAGACACCTTCCTTTAGAACTACTCTAACGGATTCAGGCCCCAGACTTTTTTCACATTTAGCTTCCATCTTAACTTAAGTATTCTAAGAAAAACAAAAATCCAACTATTTTTAATGTTTTACTGCGTTTCGTTCTTGTTTTTTGAAATAATTAACTCTTCTTCCCTTTCAATATATATAAACGATTCAGCCATATTTATAGTCGTCACTATGCAATTGCTTATTAGTCAACCAGAGTATCTCTATTAAACTTAAACTCTATAAAATATGCTTCTTTTAAGACCTAAACCTTAATTTTATGGAATTTGTTAGTGATATAACTTTATTTATCAGAACAAGCATTAGGAGTTCAAACCTCAACTAGGAGGCCTTTTATCTAATTTACTCCGCAATTGATGAGTTAGTGTGTTAGCATAGTAAGAGTACTGTGCATGATAGTGCCGTTTACTAGTAAATACTATATTTTTCGAGGGAACAAACAATTCCACGTGTAACGATCTTATTTAATCATTAAAATATTTTTTGTACTAACTCTCTTTTGCAGTCTGCAGAAGGTTATTTTACATAATTTAGGTTATTAAAAACCCGTTATAAGAGAACAAAAATCTCTTCTCGATGCTTTCGCGTCTGCGCCCTCTCTCGGTATCTTTGCTTTGTATCTCATCATTTTGGCGCCTGCCTGGCGCATGCACCCTGAGGCCGTCACGATCTAGGCTATTATATGGTCATGATTTAAAGCTAGGCAGGTCGAAAGACTAATGTCTAAGCGGTGGTGGTAGGGCTATTATTGGTAGACCTTTATCAAGCAATTTGTTTGACTTTGACTATTAGGAATATCTTCCTACTTTCTCCATTGTTGCACACTCTTCATGTAAGTAACGGTTGCTTTCTGCCGCGAGGAGTATGCCGTAAAGCGGCCGAAAAAGCTCGGTCCTATGTATGGGCGTCCTGCCTCTGTGTTAGCTCTGGAGGTTTCCTATAGTTTCGATATAGTGCTGTCAATAGGTTGCCGCTCGGAGGTGAATCCCTTTGGTCATGTCACCCTCTACGACTAACGAAGGTGTGTTGCCTTCCTTTGGGAATCAAAGAGCTCAGCGTGGGCTTGTTTTCCTGAGAGTCGCAGCTTGTGTGACGCACTGTCCGAAAGAACTACTCTTAAAATTAGCAAAAATCTTTGGTAAGCTTGAGTCCTTTGGCAGGTTTTTATCTTACCTGTGTCTTGCAGCGTACGTTATGGTATGTAGCATACCTGTGCCTGATGCCTTTGTGCTCACTTGCTAGAACCGTATAGTTGTATTGACTGACTCGAGTTACTTTGTAACAAATTCAGCGAAAAGGCTAAGGGGCCTTGAGCTTTATCATGTAGAAGCTTACGTAGTATATACTAACGTTGCCTCCTGATGTTATTTCTTCTTAGAAGTAAAAAAAGGGGACCCCGTTTCGCAATTGGCGAACAAATCAATGTTTAAACCTTTGTTAGATTGGCCAAGTTAGCTAGTGCACACTACTTTTAAGCAGAAAGTAAACGCCGTCGAAAGCGTTGAAAGAAAAAAGATAATGAGTAACGTTAATAGAACTATACTCTGATCCGGAGCCGCTGGTGCAGTCAGATTACAGTAAAAGTAACAGGTTCATTAACCTTGAACGTATACTGTAGTTGGCTATTATGAATTAGTATAATAAATACAGTGCTGGTGCCTAATTGGCTAACGGTCTGGCACCATTGGTGTTAGATGCTTGTATTCTGGATCCGCCTTGATGAAAAGTGCATTCTGATACAAGAAACCTATTAGTGCTATTTACTAGTATACTATATTTCGGAATTTAAATCAGCTTTATAGTTAAAAGGCATACTTCTCCCTAACACCCAACTACTACTACGCACAAACCCGTTTTTTCGTTTGCTAAATGACCAAATACTCCAATTATAAATGCTACGGAGAAAGAATTTTAAGATAGAGTCTGTATACAAGTGAAAATGCGTAATTGCATACTTTATAAACTCGAAAAATTAGGCTAATAAATATTATTTTCCTAAATTGCATATACTTGAATAGTATTTTATAATACCTGAAAGTTTTTCTCTTAATTTGGCTTAGTGAATTTAATGTGACTCATTTCTTAATCTACATTCCTAGTCGTTACCAAGAAAAACTCTAATTATACTTAAAAAATTATTTTTATTTTTGGTAATAAAAAATAGTTATGTAAAAAGTTCTTTATAATCTATTTCAAATGTTTTCACTTTATATTTCTTTTATATCAAGTATAAAAGCTGATATAGCACATACTTAGTAAAAAAAAAACTTAATACATGTAATTAATAACAATATATTTGGCGGATAAATAGCATAAGTAAACCAATAAATAGTAAGTTAATAACCTATTGCGGTTAGTTAAGGCTTCATGCGTAGTCTCTCGAGTTAACTGTAAAGAGAGGCAGCAAGTTTATTAAACTATTCTGCAACTACACCGAAGAGACAAAGACAAGAGGGAGAGCGTGCTCTTCTTTTTTATTTATTGGCATATTACTGCCAGTACTAAGTCTAATCCCGAAGGAGCATCATGAGTGTCTGGGGTCAACCTTAAGGAAAAAGGTTTGCGCCCGTTAAAAAGCTCCCTGGTTCTTGTTTTAACCTTCTTGTTTTCTGGGTTTCTTTCTCGGTTTTATTGACTACTCCCTTCCCTTGTTCATATATTATTATTTCCTTTATAATAAATTGTACATAATACTATTTAATACTTTTATTATTCTTGGATTTTTTCAGTTGTAATTTTGGAGCGCTTAATTATTTTCATAGAACCTTAACGACTTATAAGTCCAAAA